TTGCAGCTAGAAGAGAAAAAAGGGTGAGAGGGAAGCATACTTTTGCTGGTAGCTTTAAGGTTTGTTTACAAACTCTTTGATATTTCTCCCTTCAAAAGGCAGAACCAGATTCTCTTCTCTCAAATGTGTACTAGTGTTAAAAAACAACAACAACAAAAAACTGGACTAGTGAGTACGTAGTGAGTGACTCACTCCCAGCAAAGCGAATGTGGTGGAAATGATGGTAAGTTACAGAGGCAAGGTTATAAAACACACTGAGATGTGTATGTGTGCACATGCTTGTGCGTCTTCCTCTCCTTTCACTCACTAGGACACCAGCAGCTATGTTAACAGGCAGTGAGGCAGTCCTCTGAGAGAGTGACATGTGAAGAACTGAGATTTCTTGTCAATGGCTGGCAAGGAACCACGTCTTTTTATCAAAAGTCATCTCTAAATGAATCCTTCAGCCCCAGTCAACCCTTCAGATGACTGCAGACCCAATCCACAGATTGACTGCCATCTCAGAAGAGCCAGAATGAGCAAGCTAATTTGCTCCTTGACTTTTGATGCAAGAAATCATATGACATAATATGTATCACCACTTTAAGTTCTGGGACTATTTGTTATTGATTTAATAAGCAGATAATGAATGTTGCGGACAGCCAATATTTTTTTAAATATCTAATTTTTGTACCTTAAGCTTTTGGTATCATATGCACATACTGTCTGTTTTCAAAACAAGTTATCTTTAAAAACTTCATTTCCAAACATGAATTTCCTGAGTCAAATGATACTAGTTTATCCAACTAAATTGTAAAGTTCTCTGTTTATGACTCAAAAATATATAATTATGACAAATTATTTTTTAAGCTCTAGTAGAAATAGCCCCCTGAGGGTTAATAAGATCCAGTACATGCTCTCATTTATCAGACAGTGGTTAAAAACCAAACAAAACGACCAAAATCAGAACTGGTCATTTTCATGAGTAAAAGGAAGCTCACATTTAAAGACTCAACTTTCGAATGGAATTAAAATGCAGAATGAAGAACTCAGGCTCAATCATAATCAAATAACTAGCATGTTACTGTTTCAAGGTAAGTGTATGCATGCGTGCACTTATTTTAAACCCAGTTTTATAATAACAGGTATTGTATTATTTGTCATAGTCTTAAATCTTAAAAAGATTTTCCCCTCATATTTAGATTCAACCTGGGAGGATTGGTTTTATATATCTCTTTTGGCACTTTTTAAATCTCATTCAAGAGATATATTTATTAACTTATCTTTTTTTCTACATGAAAAGTAGCATACATTTTTTAGTATGCCTTATTTTCTTTTTCACTTAATTGATATAAAAATAACTCTTATTTCCATTTACAGAAATAATTTCTTTTTTTTAAGGACTTCACAATCTTTTTCATGGCCTGGGTGATAGATGATACATTTTAAATACAACTATTCTGTAATTTAAACTGGTGTCTCAAAGTCTAGTTCATAGGTGGTGCCACTGGATCATAAAGCTTTTCTTTATTGGACAAGAAAAAAGGCATGACATCATTTCAAGTATATATTGCAACTCAGTTCTGATACTTGTCTGACAGTCTCATCAAAAGGACTGTCACAAAATACAAACATACATGTACAGTTAACTTAAGACACAATCTATATCCTAACTCTGCACTATTTATATTTCCTGAGAAAAATACAGGAAAGGCTCAATGAGCCATATTAAGGAACTACGTGTCACAAAACAATAAAATTGTGACAAAAAATATAAATAAAAGCTTCTATAAAGAACAATGATTAAGAGTCACTTTTCATACTGTAAAAGTTGTTACAGATATTAAAAACAGGAACACAAACTTCTACCAACAATATTCTTCACAGTATTATTCACAATAGTAAGAAGGAAGAAACTACCCAAGTGTCTGTCAACGAAAGAATCAATTAACAAAATGTGGTACCTAAGGAAAATGGATTATTTAGCTTGAAAAAGGAACAAGATTCTAATGCTTGGATGAACCTGGAAAACATTATGCTAAATGAAAAAAGCTAGGCACAAAACAACATAAATTGCAGAATCCTAATATATAAAATATCCAAAAGAGACAAATGCATCAAGTTAGAAAGCAGATTAATTACCATAGGCTGAAGGGCTGAGAGTATAGGGAACTACCGCTTAGTAGATGTGGAGCTTCAATGTTGAGAAACAACCTTTGAAAATAAATAATGACTAAGTGATGATGACTGCACAACATTGTCAAAGTGATTAATGTCACCTGACAATGGTTAAAATGGCAAATGTTATGTTGTGGTATTTTATAATTAACAATAAATAAGACCATGTCAAACGAACAAGCAAAAAGAAGTACACAAAACTAAAACAAGTAATTTTGAATCTTAGTGAATGGATATGGCCCTTAACACTAATAGTTCACTGTTAGTTAACACTAATAATTTAACCATTCTGGTTCAACTATTTGGAAAGTGAGTCAGGTTACAATGAATAAGCTAACAGTTCTATGCTTCGGTTTTGTCATCTGTAAAATTGGACTGACAATTCCTACTGCACAAGTCTAGTTGCAAATGAGATAATTCATACTCACTAAGTATTACATAGAAGGCATTCAATAAATGTCACTTAGTAGTATTAGTAAAATATGGATTAGTTGAAAAGTAGCTACATCATACACAAAAACTAACATAAAGAGTATCAGAGAAAAACTTGGGGCAAATTTAGGAGCTCTAATCTATAGCATAAATAAACTACCAAATACAACAAAGCACACAAAAAAATCAGCAAAGGATAAACTGGATGACTGTGAAAATTAAATCCTGGTGAGCTCTGGTGGCCTAGTGGCAAGAAACTGCACTGCAATCCCAGAGATACACGGTTTGAATCCACCAGATGCTCTGCTGGAAAAGAAGGGACAATCTCCTCCTCTACCAGTCAGATCCAATTTGATGGTGTACACACACACACACACACACACACACACACACACACACACATTAAATCCTTATGTGCATAAAAAATTTCTCCAAAAGAATAAAAAGAATATCTATAGTACTGGAAAAAATATCTTGGAATAATATAGCTAAGAGATGGCGAAATTCTAAAACATACAGAAAACACTTAACACCTCAAAAACAATAAAAAGACAACTCAATCACAAAATGTAATGGCACTTCACTAAAGATGACATTTAGATGGCCAAAAAACATATGAAGAAATGCTCAAAATCATTAGCTATTATGTTGTTGATACTGTGTGCTGTTCAATCAGAATACACTAACAGCTCACCTTCCAAGAGCTTTTCAGAGGCTGTAAACTGCACTGGAGAAAACTGCCCATCTTTCTACCATGGAAAATTTGGTGGATTCAAGCCACTTGCCTTTGGGTTGACAGTGACTCCTTTCCATTAACTCCTTACCATTAAGGCTACCACAACTCAATGTCATTAACTATTAGAAGCAAATGTAAAATCAAAGCAAATGTAGTATCATCTCACTCCAACAACAACAACAAAGTTAGATAAGACCATAAACAACAACATCTGCTAGAGACAGAACCCACAGTCTTCAGAGATGAACTCTCAGGCACGGCTGGTGGGAATGCATGTTACAAATCCCACTACTAGGGGGGATATATATATATATATATATATATAACATGAATAAATATATGCACACTTATATTTATTGCAGCATTATTCACAATAGCAAAGAAATGGAAAAAACCCAAGTGTCCATCATGGATGAAGGAGCTATGAAACATTCACACATGGAGTATACACAACAAAGAAAAAGAATAATTACTTGTGAAATACTGGATAGGATGAATGAATCTAGAGGACATTGTGCTGAGTGAAATATAAGTCTGTCACAAAAAGACAAAACTGTGTAAGCCTACTATGGTAAAAAGTGAAAGAAAAGTTTACGTAATCATTCTAGTATGGTTAGCAGGGAGGGGAAGAGAGAAAGGAGAATAAAAATTAATAAATAGAAAAAAACTAAACTTAAGCTGAGTGAAGAGAAAGGCAATACAGAATAAATGGACAGAGACCCTGTGATTATTGTTATAAAATTAAGTGTATGAATTATTGAAAAGCCAATATGCTTTGTAAACTTTCAAATTACAATAAAAAATTAAATCAATAAAAGAGTATCTGCAAAGCCATGTCAGAGGGTATGTTAGTCTAACTTCATCATCAGAGGTCCCCAGGCGGTACAAAAAGTTTGCACTTGACTGCTAACCTCTAATTCAATCCTACCCAGGGTCCTACGGGGGGGGGAGCCTAGTAATTTGTTTCGCCTTAAGATTATAGCCAAGAATGCCCTCTGGAGCAGTTCTACTCTGAAACACATGGGACGGCCAAAGATCAAATGACTCTACAGCAAGTAACAACTTTATTATTAAAGGGATCCAGTGAAAAACGGTCTATATGGGAAAAGTAAAAGAAACATAGAAAGAGAAGAACCAGTTAAAAATTCTAACTTTAAAATATACTAGACTTAGGGAGGAAAATATACAACAATGAATAAATGGAAATCCAAATTCTTGATAAACTTTCATTAAAATATTAATTAAAATAAATTTTTTAAATCTACTAGACTTACAGAATTTAAGCTAGTCTATTATTATTATACAGAAATTTGATATATTCATTAAATATCAAGTTATATATGACAATTAATACCTCCCTCCCCTCTAATATTACTACCAATTACCAGAGAGAAGTCCATGAGCTTTAACAGGACATAAGCTAACTATTTAGATATAACATATTTCGAATAAATTGAAAAATAAAAGAATGAAAATGGAAGGTGGTTTTACCCCAATAATTCTTTTTCTTCATCTCCCATCTCCTGTTTTTGTTTGAGTTTTTAAACTAAATTAGTTCAACTGGCTTAAAACTAGGATTAGCCAAATGCTTTTAAAAAGCTTCTGTCTAGAGGCAGAAATGATTACATTTTTAAAAACAGTTAACATATTTACAAAGCCAATGGAAATTTCTTACCACCATAAAATCGGATCATACAGCCAAGGTCAGGGTTTGCTGCCTCCTCCTGTATGCGCACTGGGTCATCAAAGCCCAGCCTGGATAAGTAATCATACACAATCTGAAGAGGTCGTTCCGTAGGTTCCAGTCTCCTGCTCATACAATTAAAAAAAAAATAATAAATTAGACAGTTATAAAAATTAGTCAATTACAAAAAAAGTCTTTGAATATTTTTATACTTGTATACTGATTTTTAAAATGTCTTTATCAATATCTTCTTTAATATCATGATACAACTAACATAAACAAATGGTTCTCAAGTTTTTTTGTCTAAGGTTCCCTTCATATTTTTTGAGAATCCAAAAGAGAATTGATTTGGGGCTCTCTGATGACCTAGTGCCAAAAGAAGCTGCACTGCAATCCCAAAGGCGTACAGTTCGAATCCACCAGATGCTCTGCTGGAGGAGGAGGAACTCTCTCCTCCTGTGCCAGTCAGATGTGATTTGACAGTACACAACAAGAAGGGGAAAAAAAATTTTTTTAAGTATTCATTTTCAGCTTTATCTTTCAATATCTTCTGAATCAGAAATTATATTATTAAGAGTTTCCCAATGCTTACTTATTCATTTAAAAACTACAAGCCCATTATGTCAGCATAAATCATGTATTTAAAAAAAAACAACCAACACACCAATTCCCCAAATAAAATAAATGTAAAAAAAAGGGTATCACTGTTCCACTTTTTAAAAAAAACTTTCTCCCCCCACCTTTTCTTGTTGTGTACTGTTGAACTGGATCCAACTGGCACAGGAGGAAATTGTCCCTACTTCTCCAGTGGGGCATCTGGTGGATTTGAACTGTGCGCCTTTAGGATTACAAGGCAGCTTCTTGCCACTAACCACCAGAACTCCCTTGTTCTACACTTTTCAAAAGGTGCTGTTGTTAGGTACCATTGAATATGACTCATAGTGACCGTGTGAACAAAAGATTTAAATCCTTTTCTATTCTGAGCCATCTTCACACTTCCTAACACACAAGAGCCCACTGCAGCATTCACAGAGTCAATCCATCTGACTGAGTCTTCCTTCCCCTTTTCCAACCCTCCACCCTTCCCAACATCATGTCCCTCTAAGGAATAGCTCCTCCTAGCAAAATGCCCAAAGTATGGTGAGATGGAAACCTCATCATTCTTGCCTCCAAAGAACACTCTGGCTGCATGCTCTCCACATATTTCTGTTTGTTCTCTTGGCCATCCATGGGATGGTCAGTGCTCTTCTCCAACACCACAGCTCAAAGGCATTGTTGTTCTGCCATTCTCATTCACTGTCCAGCTCTCAGATGCACAGCAAGGGACCAGAAAGAATATGGCCTGAATTAGATGTACCGTAGTCTTTATACTGGCATCCTTACTCCTCAATAATTCGGAGAGGTCCCTAACTGCAGATTTCCCAGTGCAATGTAGATATACAGACATAACTGTGTTCATGCAAAACCTATACTTAGATCCAGAAGCTATTGTCAGAAAAGAACAAGGGAACAGTACATGGCTTCAAATCAAGAGAGGTGCATGTCAGGGTTGTGTTCTTTCTCAATACCTATTCATTGGACACTGAGCAAATAATTGGAGAAGCTGGACTATAAGAAGAATACGGTACTAGGATTGAAGTAAGATCCATCAACAACCTGCATTATACAACCTGCAGATGATACAATCTTGTTTGTTTAAAGTGAAGATGACTGAAACACTTGCTGCAAAAGATCAAAGACTGCAGCCTTCAATACAGATTACATCTCAACATTAAGAAAACAGATATTCTCACCACTGGCACAACAGGCAACACTGTGATAGCTACAGAAAACTGAAGTTGTCAATGATTTCATTTTACTTAGACCCACAATCAACACACATGGTAACAGCAGTCAAGAAATCAATCCAAAGACATGTTACATTGGAAAATATGCTGTCAAGGGTCTTTCCAAAACACTAAAGAGCAAAGGTGTCAATCTAAAGAGTAAGGTGGGCCTGACCCAAGCCATGGTCTTTTTAATTACTTTCTATGCAAACTGGACAAGGAATTAAGATGACATAAGAATTATCAGCCCCTTTGACTCGTGATGCTGGAGAAGAGTACTGACTATCCCACAGACTAAAAGAACAAAGAGCCTTGGAAAAAAAATGCAATCAGAATGCTCCTTAAAGGCAAAGATGGTGAAAGTTCATCTCACATGCTTAGGTCATGTTTTCAGGAGTGGCTATTATTTGGAAAAGGACATCACGCTTCAAGAAGTGGAGGTTAAGAAAAAGAGAAGATGATCAACAGGATGGACTGGCATGCTGACAATAAGAATGGGCTCGAGAATATGACTGTGAGAATGGCAGAGGACAAGGCAAAGTTCAGATCTGTTTTGAGAGTGACTCTGAGCTGTGGTCAACTCAGTGGCACTTAACAACAACAACAACAACACGCACATCTACACACACACACACACACACACACAGCACTGATGGCCTAGTGGGTAAGAAGTTGTGCTGTCAACCCAAAGTCTTGAGATCATCAGCTTTTCCAAGGAAGACAGACAATCTCCTCTCATGCAATTTATAGTCTCTAAAAACCTCTGGAGGGTCAGCTATGAATTGATTTCAACTCAACACTGAAGTACAACAACATATAAACATGCATATATAGAGAGACAGATATAAAGGATGACTGAAGGAAGACTAACTTGAAGACAAGGAAATGAAGGAATACTTAAAGAACTATCTTCAGGTGTCAAGAAGGAGTAAATTTACTCTGTATTGCTCCAAAATAAGGGACTTGGAATAATGGGAAGACGTTACATAGGTGTGTTAGGACTCAACAGACCTTAATAATTACAGATGTCCAATTACTAAAACAGACTACCAATTACTAAAACAGACTACCTCTCACAATAGCTAAAAGCTCACGGACAGCTAGAGAAGCATTTGTCACAGATACTTTAGAAGTAACTCCTATAGGAATCGCGTGAAGGCTAGATGATCTTCTGTCTCTTTCAGAACTCAAGATTCTATGAAGTATCCAAGACACTTTCCTAACCTAATACAAATTCTACCGAAACCCTATTGTTTTTCAGGATACAGAGTCAAATCTATCTCTATTCCATAAATTCATATTATTCAGTATTTCTGGGCAAGAAATAATGATATTTTCAGGTTAAATCTTACAGCTCATTTTAAAACTCTTTTTCTCTAGAAAATAAAACCATCCTATGTTTGACATATTTTACATTGTAAAATTTCTTTGTCTACAAATGCCTGTGGATCAACCTCTTTTTATATTTCCACCCAAAGAAAGTATTTTTTCTGATGGGGGGGAAGGAGAACTTCAACATCTGCTCACATTAATTTAGCATAAGTGAGTAAACAAGTTAATATTTTAAGAACTGCATAAACAAGTAAAATGAGGGACTAATTCCATTTACTCATTAAACTCATCTGTTTATGGGTACGAGGAGGGAAACAGGGAAATACGCTTACAGCTCAATTTTATGTTCCAAAGTTCCAAAAGTTTAACAGGCTGAAAATTAGCTATTTGTTAAATCTCTTGCAAATCAAAGGGAAATTATGTACTGCAAATTGGGGATTGGAGACGGTAGTGTTAGCAACAAAGAATTCCATTCAACGTTTCAACTATCCATCCCTACTATTGCTGTAAGGAGTCAGTGAGACCACTATTAACTATTTTGGTGTACCTTTAATACTTCTGAGAACTAATAGAAATTGAAATTCACTGCCAGCGAGTCAGTGCCAACAACTCAGGGTGACTCTCCTTCAGCTGTAAATCTTGACAGGAGAAGTCCGTTCAACCTTCTCTCTCAGAGCTCAAGACTGATTCAGATTCAAACTGGTAGAGGTACAGACCTTTTGGTTAGCAGGGCTATGTTGTTGTTAAGTGCCATTCTAGTCGTAGACGACTCATAGCGACCGGATGAATGAAGGACATGAATACTTGTGAACACTTGTATAACTTTCATTGTTTCTCCACATTCATAGGGTTTCCAGAGGCAAGCTATTTCGGAAGTGCATGCCACTCCTGCTTCCAAGCTTGTTTTAACTGGGGGTTATAGATTATGCCAAATACTATCTTGTTGCTGCTATGTACTTTCGAGGCAGACCAACCCAGAGCTGACCTTCCAGCAGGTTTTCAGAAGTACTAAATCACACAGGAGGAGTCTGTCCATTTTTCTCCCGTGGAGTACCTGGTGGATTTGAACAGCGTACTTCTGCATTGGCAGTGCAATTCCTTAACACTAAGCTAGGAGAGCTCCCTACAGTAAATACTATAGTCCATTTTAATGTAAAGAGATATGTTTATTTAGATTAATCATTAACAAATCAGTAACATTATCAATAGAGTTTACAACTCTTTCTATAGCCACACATTCTAAACAGTTAATAGTTAAGATATAAGCAAGGAAGAGTAAATTTCATTCCAGGTATCATTTCACTTATCAGTTCTACTTCAATACTGACTGACAGGTAAAATCACACACTTAACAAACTCAACATGAGGAGTATTACATTATATCACAGACTTTAAAAAAGCACAGCAACATTCTCTACATCAAATTTAAATTAAAATTCAAACTTTGGCCACTTAAGAGATGTAATATTCAAATGTTAACATTAATAACACAGATATAAAGAACAAATTTACCTACAGGGGAATAAAAGCCAAAGCTGCTGCCAGAATTGATTAAGCTTATACAGACTTGCCATCAGGTTTCTGGGGCTGTCACTCGTGACTGGAGGAGATTGCCCATACTTTCTCCAGAGGAGCTGCTGGTGGGCTCAAACCTCCAGAAACCTCCGTTAGCTGTGCCACATGCTACAGACTACGCCTGCAAAGCTCCTTATCAGCAGAAAGGATATTTCAGTTGATGGTCACTTCACACCAAATGTCTATAGCAGTTCTCAACAGTATTAAAAGTGTACCAAAACCATTACAGGACTCTTACTGTCTCTTTAGAAAGAAGAGAAAAAGTTGAAATGTTAAGTGACACTTTTTGTTGCCAATATTACTCTCTCCTATACTCATTTTGTAGGGAGCTCTAACAGTCTAGTGGGTAAGAAGTGGTGCTGCTAACTCAAAGACACTCAATTCAAATCTAT